CCCCAAAACCCCAAAACCCCAAAACCCCAAAACCCCATGATTCCTATAAATGTAATTAATAAGATAACTATATTATAGAGTATATATAATAAATTAAATCTTCTTATCTAAAATGGCATCTCTTGCAACACAATGCTATGCAGCTGGTCAATATAACTATTAAGGCTGGAAAGACATGTTCTACTGCATTTCACCACACTCTTGGGCCTATATGGGAGTTGCACTCTCCATTGGTCTCTCTATTATTGGAGCTGCTTGGTAAGAACTTAAAAATTTTACATTTTTATATGATTTCTATTTGACCTAATTCAGAGTCTAATCCATCTTTATAGGGGAATATTCATTACAGGAAGCAGTTTATTAGGATCTTCCATCAAGATGCCTAGAATAAAATCAAAGAACTTGATCAGGTATGTTACACATTCCCAAGACTTAAAATTAATCAACACTCTATCTCATTACTTTCATTGCAATAAAGCAAACGAACTAATATTTATTCCTTTATAGTGTTATTTTCTGTGAAGCCGTCGCTATCTATGGAGTTATTATCGCTATTATTTTATTGACAAAGTGCGAGAACCTTCCAAAAGATCTTACCCCACTCAATCATGATACTGTAAATACTTTCATTATTAAACTCATTATTGATGATTAGGCTCTCTGGTCAGCTTTCGCAATCTTTGGAGCAGGTATTTCAGTCGGTCTTTCAAACTTGTTCTGTGGCGTGTGTGTTGGGGTTACAGGAGCTGGTTGTGCTCTTTCTGATGCACAAACTCCATCAACATTCGTCAAGATCCTTATCATCGAAATTTTCGGAAGCGCCCTAGGACTTTTCGGAGTTATTATTGGTATCATCCAAGCTGGTAAGGCTTGATGGAAGAGAGGGAAGAATATCCTTACATTTGCGAATGATTATGGATTATTATCACAATAATATTCATATATTCAATCATTATTCTTACTTTTGCATCAACTCAGATTGAAGGGGTTTTGGGGTTTTGGGGTTTTGGGGTTTTGGGGGTGGACCTACTGGTGTTGCTGATTAAACTTTTAA